AACAAAAAAAAATCCAAGCTAACAGCGATGGATAAATAAAAACAATTTGTGAATAGGAGCAGGAAATAATGTTACTCATACGCCATGTCTCAACATGACCGTACTCGTACATGGCGTATGAGTATGAGTTTGAATTTTTTCCAATTTGAATTTTTTCTTGAATATGGAAACTGACTTCACTTAAATTGATTTCGTGAAACCGGCAGTAAGAATTAATATCTGCATTATAACGGCAAAAAATTCTATGAGAAGTAAATATTTTAGTTAGTTCTTGCACCAGCCCTACGCAGTTTTTTTTCTAGTTAGAAACTTAATCGACTAAATAAAAGCATTATGCAAATTATGGAAATAATTTAAGTTTTGCGATCACACGTCCAATTGCCCATAAAATTGTATGCGAAAGTAATCATTTTCGCAAAAGTTTTTCCACTTCACCTCATCTGCATGCTTGCTATTGGAAAATGATAAACTTTTGGATGCTGTCTAATAATAATAAAAAAAAAAAAATACCTTCCTAAGTCCGTCAGCGATTTGGTAGCACAATGAAAACAAATTAAATAAATGCAGCCACTTTGGCAGCTTGTTTGCCTGTAAGTTTATTTTGGTGTAATTTTTACTAAAACTTTTTAACAATCAGCTTGTGTGCACACCGCCTGGACTTGCCTTTAACAACCTAACTACTACTACCTAAGCAATATTTTCGCTTCGTTTCAGCTGTTTGCCTTTGCCGTTATGCTTCTCGAATTTTTGCTTGCATTTCATGCCATTTCTATTGTAGCTGTAAAACGAAAACCAGCTGTTTTTTAATAGTAGTTTTCTGNCAAAACAAATTAAATAAATGCCGCCGCTTTGGCAGCTTGTTTGCCTGTAAGTTTATTTTGGTGTAATTTTTACTAAAACTTTTTAACAATCAGCCTGGTCTTTGTCCTTAACCACCTAACTGCTACTACCTAAGCAATATTTTCGCTTCGTTTCAGCTGTTTGCCTTTGCCGTTTATGCTTCTCGAATTTTTACTTGCATTTCATGCCATTTTTATTGTAGCTGTAAAACGAAAACCAGCTGTTTTTTAATAGTAGTTTTCTGTGCTGTTAAATTACGAACTGAGAAAACCCTAAAAGAAAACATGTAAAAGATAGCAAAAAAGGCAAACAAAAAAAAATTGTTTTTGAAGGACAACGGACGACAAATATACTGCAAAGCATATGTTAAGGCTCAGTAAAAAACAGAGGGAAACTCGAAAATATATACATACGGACATACATACATAGCCAAACAAGCGTAAGGACATCAGAACATACATACATATGTACAAAGAGCACAGCAAAGAATTTTGAAAAGTTGCTGTAACATCATTGCAAGCAATTACGCTGCAACTTTTGTTGCCGCTCTTCACTTTATAAGCGGATCAAACAAGGAGCAGTGGTTGCCATGACCACCATACTACTGAGCAAACAAGCACACTTATACATATGTACATATGTACATACATACATACATAGCCACTTTATGCGCAAATTGGATGACGATGATGATGGAATTACTTCAGCGTATCAAATGTTTAGTTGGTGGCGGCTGAGTGGCTGCAATATTTTTGAATATCTAAGTGCCTTGAATATTAAAATGCTTTCGCTTCATTGAAGCAGCAGTAGCATTAAATGTAGGTATGTATGTATGTAGGAGCTACGATGATGTGCGCCTGCAAGAGAGAAAGTATGTAACAAGAAATGAGTGACGATGTGGAATTTAGGTGGCATTAACTATAAGTTTGATGTCAGGTCGGGTGCGTTATTTTAATTTGATTGTATTATTAACAACGCCCAGCAAAAATTACTTGACGGCAAAGATAATGCTGCTGGTCGGTACTGTGGGTTGAAATGAATTACTATATGTAAAAGAAAATGAAAAAAAAAAATTGGAGAAGCTGCGAAAAAATATATAGGTTATAATTGAAAGTAAATATACTAAGAGCGAAAAAAAAACGTTTACATTTAATATGTTAAAAATAAATAAAAATTAAAGCGCTTGGTGCAAGGGAAATTCAATATTTCATAATTTTCACTTTAAGCATGCAATTTCAATAACTAACTGAAGCTCGCCTTAACGTTTAACGTTTAACAAAAATGTGAGTGCCAAATATTAATTTATTTCTTCTACAATAAAATCTCCAACGCCTTGGCACTATTATAGAATGATAGAAAATTTGGAACCCATAACATGAGGAATTCCTGGACTTCAGGTCTTATCTATCGGAATAAAAGTTACACATGATCGGTTACAAATCAAAAAGCTCGTACCATCTGAACGATGACAAAACAGATTCCACCATTAAGAAACATTTGGAAGAAAAATCATGCCGGTGGTGAATATATTTATCCAACTCTGGTGTTTAGAGTTACGCTGAATAGAAATAGACCTATACGAACTCTTCAACCAGATGTGAGATATGTTCTCCTCAGCCTGTTTCATTGACATAAAACATAACTGATGTAGTGATATCCTTCTAGTCTTGACAGCGCCTTCATATACTCCTTAAACATGCTGACGCCTGCTACCTCGTAACTATTTGCTTTCTCAATTACTTAACGGATGGACGACTCCCGAAAACTTGGAGGGAGCTAAATATTATATTCATTCTTAAAGTAGAGAAACCAAACCACTAACAGGAAAACATCTTTAGGGCAATAAATAATTATTTCGTCATTTATTCAGAAGACAATTGAAAGACCCTCATTCCGAGAAATGCATTGAATCGGCAGCATTGAAGGAGAATTCAAAAATACATAGACGGAAGCAATATAACAGCACGCGTTACATGTATTGACTTCTTTCTTGTGAGCTAAGTGATCCACATACCTAAAGGGTACAGAGTTCATGAGAAAAAGAACTACCAGAGGCAACCACCAGGAGGGGGTAAAAAATCCTCTATTCGCCGATTAAATAATATCTAATAAGCGCTAGATGACATCTCTCAGTAGAACAACGAGAGCGGCTACAAATCGTAACTAGTCTTGTTCACCAGAAAACCTAAAGCTATCGCCTATTATCTACCAACAAAAATGTTTATCTATCATTCGGGCTTACGATACCTGAAAAGAGCTTTTGGAAAGTAACATATAACCTATAATAAGTGCGTGAAAGTCATAAGACCGATTATAAATCTGGTGCAAGCCTCTAGATAAAGGGAACAAATATAAAGCTACTGAGAAAGAGCAAAGGCTCAGAGTATGCCTTCGCATAAAAGGAGCGGTAAGCAATGCACCCCTGGTGGGACTTCAAAGTGAACTTCAACCTGCGCTCAATGCACATGTTTATTCATGGAGTGGCTACAAAGAGCGTTCCTAGGCTAAAGGAGTCAAAATGTAAAAAGTTTCTTACTGGATGAAATAAAAAGAGGCCTTCTAAGTGGAATAAATATTGATTTAAAATCCAACACTAACCGCATTGCGTCGATTTGGGACTTCAGTAACGCCTGCAGCGGCTAGCGTGCTGAAACTTATGTTATAGAGAAGGCAGCTAATCTTCTACTGAATATCATGGTTCTAGCCACATAAGACGCTTTCTCCGTTAGCAGCAAAGCGAGATTAAAAGCAATAGAATTCAAATAACGAAATCGGGGATTGTACGGGAATGTGTTCAATCTTTGATCCTTAAAAATAAAAAAGGGAGAGAGCTGATAATACGAATGAAGAAAACTGATGAACACAAATACTACAATTGTTACAATGATCTTATGTTTCATCAAAATATTTAGCTTTTAATTAAATTCCTTAGAAATATTCTGAGTATATAGTTTTGCAGCCCATTCAATTTTAGTTATGCAGTTTAGTGAAAATTTTAAGTATCTAGGACTTAGTGTTGATTTTTGATATTTTTTTTTTGTAAAACGTGGTGCTCATTTTCCCCATACAATAAAAAAACAAAAATGAACGGTAGCTGCTAGCTACTTCCAACTGGCATTTTATTATACTAAAATGTAATTAGCTATAAAATGGGCAAAATCCAAAAAAAAAAATCTGATTAAAAAAGTTTAAAAATTGTATCAACATGTTAAAATTTTTCGCATTTTCATAAATGTTCTACAAAATTTGAAACTTTGATTTACAAGTTATTTTTTAGATAGTAAGCTATATTTTCATAAAAAAAATATATAAATTTTTTAAACAAAGAAAAGTAGGCAAAACTTGCTATAATGTCTTTTCCCCATTTACTTTCTCGTCACCGTATATGGTACATAATTTTAACAAATTTTTCTATAGGCAGCTCAACATAGAAAAAATAATCTCACCATTGTGAGCTTCATTAAACCCAGTACGTACAGCAAATACCAACATTTAAATTCCATCAAAAACCCAAAAAACTTTTCCATTTGATTCAATAAAATCAATATGACACATAATTATAATATGGCGTCAAAACAACCGCTATCTACCACCATAGCAATCAGCCGGAAAATTGTTGAATAAAATTTTATTGCAAAAGTTCTGCAAAATCGAAACAACAGCAAAAGCAATAAAAGTGGCAGAAATTAAAAGCGATAAGCATTAAAATCTACCAAACAGGACCAACGCAAAACAAAAAACTTTTTGTGCAGTAAGCCGACAGTTAAGGTCAATAAAACAGGCATGGAAATGAAAGGGAAAACAAACAAATTTTTTTTTTGCCAACAAAAAGTTGCGCTCGGGAATGCATAAACAGGGAAAACGAAAACGACAACTGCGCTTAAAGCCTTTTTCCCTCTGATATATTGTTAATGAATTAAATTGATTTGTGCTCCATTATTTAAAGATAAAACGCACCTACCTACACACATACATACATAGTTGGTGGTAGGGAAAAAAAGTGTTGCCTGCCGACAGCCACTTAACGGCAAATCTGTGATCAATCGCACTAATCCATTTTCTTTTGTAGCCTTACAAAGAGTTTATTTTATTCTTGTAAATATTACTGATTTTCCTCTGTTCTCTTCTTCTGCTTCTTCTTCTTCTTGTCGCTGACACAGGTTTAGTCCGACACGTGCGCCAGCACCGTGGGATGGTATACGCATTTCGGACAAGTACAGTCCCGTTTGTCCGCAACGTCTGCCCAACATACAAAATGAGACGGCGGCGCTGGAGAAAATGCCAAAAGGGCGGCTGGAGTATCTAAAAAGGTTGCTGCCATTCTTGGAAAATCAATCAGAAGACTGCCTCTACTTGAATATATTCTCGCCAATTAATGGTAAGTGAGAGCGGAAATATGAGAAGCAGAAAAAGGTGCCTGTGAAAAAGTGCAAGCATTAAATGTAGAATTTATGTAATTTGGGTGATTGCATCGTGGACGGGAACCGGTTATTATTGATAGTTTAAAAATGTCGGCAGGCAGTGCAGTGCAGACTTTACGGTTCATTCAATTTGAAGGGATTATTTTGGTTTTAATGGTTTGATTGATCATTTTTTAAATTAATTCTATTAAACATGAGCAAACACAATAAACCTTCGGCATTTTGAGAGGAATGTATTACTAACCGATTTCCGATTGGGTAAATAAAAAGCTAACTAAAAGCTCAAATAACCTTTGACGCTTGGCAATAATACTGCTATTAGTAGATATTCTATAGTTAATAGTATTAAGCGGCAATTACATATTATTTTTAATTCTGCGCCAATCTAACAGAACTTTGAGCTGTGTGGAAAAGCGCTATATCTTTGTTTATTTATTTAATTTTTTTTCGTCCACGCAATGTAAGGAGATGATTAATTATGCAAAAAGCTAGCCAATTACTGTGTCTCTGAAAAAAATGTATCTACCAATCGGGTTGTAAAAAAAAATTGGTTCGAAATAGTTGAACAAATCGCGTTTAATTGATATTAATTAAAGGTCGATGCTGATGTTGAACCACAGCATGACTGAAAAAAAAATTATGATAAATTTGGGGGGGCAAATGTATGACCTTTTGTTAAATTTAGCTTTTATTTATACGGTCACAAAAAATGTATATATGTAAATCAGCACTTAAAGCACAATGAATTAAATATCCATACCAAAACTATAATACCTTGATATCATATCGCACACCACATCGCACATCACATCGTATTATTAAATTTTAACTTCCGACATCTACTATTCATATAAGAAAAATTGTAACAGGCCAATGTTAATATTAGAGCAAAAGAAGCCAAATTTTAAAGTTTTAGAATTTTTGTCTGTCTGTCTGTCGTATGTTTGTACGCGCGTCAAACGAAAACTAATGCCTTACATTGAGTGCAGTTTTCCTCGATGTATTTGCTAGAGGTCTAACTTAAAATATAGAAAGGAAAAAGTTAAAGAGTTGCCACCTGTTTTAAAATTGCAGCTTAAGCAATTGCTAAGATAAAGTAAGTATTTCAATATGGCTGTGAAGAGAAAGAGGTTTAAGAAGGCTTACAGCCGAAAATATTTTTATGGAGATTGCCACATGTTTGAAATTTTTAATTCAATTTAATTGATAAGATAAATTAAATATGGCAGTATGGGTATTAAACTGAAGAGGATTAGGAAATTTTACTGCAGAAAATATTTTTGAGAAGGGCTGCCACCTGTTTGAAAAATTGCATTTAATAAAATTGATAAAATAAATGAAATATTACATTCCGGGTATCAAACAGCACAAAAATACACTTAAGGCGAAGTGAAGAACGCTGGGTGTTTGCTAGTCAGCAATAAAAATATTTTGTGTGAAACAAAGTGGCTCGGAAATAATTTCGACTGCACGTTATTTTGCAGCTTACAACGTCAGGCCTCATCGCAGCTGTTCATTTTGTGCTTCACTAATAAATGACATTGGTCAAGATGACAATTTTGGCATTAAATAAAAGGTGAAAAAACATGGATTACCTCGTAAGATGCTTACCTCTTTTCCCAGCGGGATTTCTCCAAATACATTTCAAATATACAGACATGCATATCTACAAGTATATTTATGCAAAATAATGACAGCTTTTACAGCAATAAAATTTCGCTTAAACTCTTCTATGCGTAGTTAAATACATAGCTAAGTTTAAGCTCATTTTATTACATACCAAAAATGTATTAGATTTTATGCTGCTGTTGTTGGGACTTTAGTCTGTATTTCATTTCTCCTATTGCATAATACGTAAGTGCTATTATATTTTTTGTGTTAAATATTTTGGCCATAAATGTCAAATCAAGTCGTTGATAATACACCCAAAGGCCAACTCGAAATGCTCCTGAACATACAAAAACTCGACATACATACATTGCATTAGTGTGTACTTCTGGTATTTTAAGCCATTTCAAGTTGTTGGTATACTATACATATATTAAAAGTATGGGCGTAACGTGTTTGGGGGCTTGAAATATATATATGTATATATACATACGTAAGCAATGAAAGAGGCGTTTTCTGACAACAAAGCAAAGCCATAAATAACGTGTAAACGAGAATAAGTGAGCATACGTATGTATGTATATGCATGTATATAATCCAGAAAATAAGTCATGAAGAAAAAGTTCCAAAGCACGAATTATTAAACAAACTCATTTCATTGCTTTTTTATACACTTGATGAGAGGAGGAAATCAACAAAGCATAAGCCGCGCGTAAAACATTCTTTGAAATTTGTTGCCGGAAATAAAAATACATATAACAATGTGGGCGTTGTATTTTTCACAACTTTATAATTAACATGCGGAAGAGTAATGAAATGCATGCGATTTTCGAATGCGACTACTTAAGATGAAAGTCAATCTTAAACATTTATGCATACACCCGAAAGTTTATTATACGTATAATAAGCTTAATACAAAGCTAATTCTGTTATTATGTGGATTTGAAGACATAAGTTATCTAAATTTACTAGCACATAAGTGCATTCCCGATACATGTACTTAAAATGGACTCACGCAATTTCTCTGCCATATATGTACATACATATGTATTCATTAGTTTACCAAATTGCGAAAATAGGTTTCGAAGAAAATGTGAAAGTTCTCACTGGCAAGCATCTTTGCGCACTCACCTACACCCAGACATATAAATTTGCTTTCCAATCTTGAATATCCATCAAAACCTCAGCCACGCGATTTGTACGTGTTGTCACCGCTCTCAGAGCGGCGCTCTGCATGCTTGGGGTGCGTATGTACACTCATATATATATATACTCAGATGTGAACAGTCAAATACGTGCGTAATAAATTTTCTATGAAAATATTATTTTTAAATTCGAACATTTTTAAACTATAATCAAATATAAAGTATTAATTTTTACTATGCATTATTTCCCTCAGTGTACGCGCATAGTCGAAAAAATTCATGTACGCATTTTGAACAGTTGTGGGATTCACAACCCTTGTTAAGTGTCGTAATATCTTAAAGTGTAAAAAAATAACGGCCAAAATAGTTTTAGGGGGCTCGCTATTTATGATTTAATTGATTTTTTGTTTGTTTTGAATTTGATTGATTTGAATAGATACGAGAGTTATTCGCATCACTCATTGATCACAAATTTTTATTTCGAAAGCGGGCAATTGTGTTGAATTGTGTTAACGTATTCGCTTCATTAGTTTCATCATTAGTGACTTCGCTGTTTTCCCAAAACTGAAACTAGATTTGAAAGGAATTTTTGCTGAAAATAAACTGAACTTAGCTTAAACATACTTTTATTAAATATGTTTGTACACGTGTATATGTATGTATGTCATACTAATAATGATACTAATCGAAATATGCGCCATCACAAGCTGTGTCTTTTTGTTCATCTGCTTATCTGGCAATTTAAACTCAAAAATAGTAATTGCCGGCAGCAGCATATTTAAAATACCGCACTGCAACAAAACAACACAAATTTTGCGTAAATTAGATATTCTCCATAGGACAATAGCAAATTTATAGTAAATGCCGAAAGCAATAGTCAAAATAATGCTGCTAACTATTTAGTACACATTGTCAAAATATTAGCAAATATGTATGTACGCACGTGTTTGCCTAATTAAATGTAAAGAAACTGTTATAATCACCGTGTACATGCGCAAACATGTTATTTTATTTGTTCGCCATAATGCTCAGCATGAAAAGCAAAACAATTGAGTATTTATTGCTCAACATTTTTACTAGAAGCAATCAAACGATCCTTTCGGCATCATTTGTCGCATTTTCATTTGACTGAATTTTTAATTAAATTTTAAGTATTACTTAACTAGTAGACATACGGCTGTGCTTGTTTGCATCATTGGAAGCCTTCATTTGCATAGAAAACAACCGTGAAAGATTTTGAAAGATTTCACACTACAACAACTTCAATTGAGCACAGAAGTTTATGGCGAATGATCTGAAGTAAACCAAATTACAGGTTTTTGAGATTTATGCTAAAAAACAATCCCAATGAGCCTGATTTTAATATTTGGTAGAATAAATACAATATTCTTTACTCTTTCATGTCACATACTTTTTTTAACAATAACAAAAGAGGAAAACGCAGCTATCCAAGGCGCAGAAAACAAAAAAAAAAAAACTCTATCAAGAAAAGGACTATGTTCTCTTTGACGTACTTCAAACGTCACTGCATTACAGGCGAGCATTTTCAAATTACTCCAACATGACACAAATAGACCACAAATGGTCCAACGATTTTTTCAGGGTAATTTTATTGCATCTACTGTAATTGTGCAAACATTCGCAAATAATTATATTCCGATTTTCAGTACTCAGCAGTTTTATATTGCTGACTGTTTTCGCTGCATGCGCAAATACAATTCGTTTTTTTTTTTTTTTTTTTTGTTGAATGCATGACAAATGATATTGTTGCTCACTTTGCATTTTCTGAAATTGATAACGCTTCAGGCAGTCGCTTTTTCAAACATCCATCAAATATCAACATATGCATTCAAATAAACCGATTATTAGATATTTGAAATATGATATCGTTGTTTAAAGTACAAAATTGCATATGTGGGGTTGCCACATTTTACAGGAGATAGTAAAATCTGTCATATTCCAATACCATTCTCTCGTTTTTATCTAATTATCTCTACCTTTTGATATATAAATATTTAAATTTTGGAACGAATTGAGCTTCCGATGAGCACATCTCATTTTTGGCACAAATGTCAGTTACGCGGTTTTGCGCTTTAAACAAGGATATGCATATTTTCCCCTATCGCCATTAATTACTGCAGTTCGCATTTATATTTATTTACTGTGTTGAGTTGTGTAAAGCGGGCAATGAAAAGCTTTCCCTCCCCTATATCCTATTTACCATTTATTAACCACTCTATGGTGACATCACTATATGGATGTAGCCAAGTCTATCCAAAATCGCTTTTGACGGTGACCTACTCATTTTAAAAGAAGTTAGGACAAAATAATTCACCGACTTATAAATCGCAGAGGCAGTGTGGCCTTTTTGTGGATACAACGGTGCCTCACGAGTGTATCGCGAACTCTCTTCACTCTAAATGCGACAATTTCTTTTCTTAAGAGCGTTGGCAGATCCAATTAATCCTTGTCCGTCTAGTCGTTATAGTAAAATAGAAACTCTAAAAAAATACCGTTTACCTAGATAGGTAACTATATCGTGTGGCTGATGCATCGTGGCCCTTTCAAATCCCGTTTGGTCCTCGTCTGCCAGGAAATTCGAGACGTCTTACTTTGACTCCACATTGCGCCAAATTCTTTGTATAAAAATTCTTTAAGAAGCAGCTTGCTAGTGGCTTATGGCATACCAATGCATTCATTACAAGGAAATTTTTTTTCCAGATCGTGCCTTGCCTTGCAGGTTCGTCTGCCATACAGTTTCCCTCTATGTCCAGGGCTCCAAGTGAGGTGAAGTCTGTTCTGCTAGGTTATCTCTTGTAGAGGTAAGTGGAAGTCCAGCGCAATCCTTGAGTAAAAGATGAAAGAGCTTTGAATCCAGCCTGGGTATCACTAAAAATTAAGACATATATCCTTTAAATATGCTGCAGTAGCCTGATAACCTAAAAGACATTTTTAGAGGAGGATTTCGTGAGAAGACGCCAAGACGCCTCCTGCTATCGAGTTCAGAGCCTTCTGTGTAGATACTGCCAGATACTGGAATGTTAATATCTTCTTCCCACTCCTCCCTGCATGGGTTACTGGTGATTAAATTGCTTTCCGGTACCTTTCACCTACAATGGAACCTCATATCGGCCACTCATATTTGCAAAAAAAGCTGATCAAAATTAAGTTCAAAGTTTACTTCAGATCTACGATCGTCCTTAAATTTCCACTCTGACCCATATTTAGGTACACGCCAACTCACTCGTGAGCAATGTCTAACATAGTGTAGCATCTTAAAAATAATCTCTCTTCAAATCATTTGCTTTTGAACAGGAAATTAGGAAACCTTAAGTGACAACTAACTGACTGAATTTGTGGTAACAGCAAAAGTGAAGGAAGGCATTGCCAAGTTTTCCAAGCTTAAGAAGTTTTTGCTTCACAAGGTATGCACACACAGAGTTTCTGAGAAAAAAATAACTCTGAAATAGCTTAACGTATGTATGTATATACAGAGAAGTTTGTAGGTTGATATATCTACATATACATACATATATACAATATTTAAATATTACTTTACAACTTTCGACGCTGCTTTACTGCCAGCCCGCGGTGGTTAGTAGCACGCCGTGCAAACTTTTTGATTGAAAATTCTAATTTACTTGCGGTTAGCAAATTTGAAGTTTCAACTCCGCAAGGAACACAAACAATTTAGCTCATTCTTTGTCACTTTTCCTTTGGTTTGGTGTTGTTGGAATGCCAGTTAAATTAATTTTATTTATTTTTTTGTTATTTAACTTGGTTTATTTGCATAAAATTAATAGGTAGTGTAGAAGAATGTGTGTTTTTTGTCTCTTTGCTCCCAGAGCCATAGGCTGGAAAAATTTAATCCAACCAAAACCCCAATTCAAATACGAAAAAACCCGTTTCGATGAACTAATCCAAAGCTGCAAAAGGGTTCGAGCCGTTGAACCGAACCGACCGAATTTTTCATTCGGCTTGTGAAAAAATGTATTTTCCCTTCGCATACGTATTCTAAACTGTTGTCATTGTAGGATATCGACTACACAGTAACCAATCTCTCCAAGATCCAAGTGGTCCTTGCAACTTTTTTACCTATATGTACCGAAACTGAGATTTCAAGCAAAACACGCTAGTATCAGAATAAATTTTTGAAAACCATCTTTAGTGCCACCATTAAAGTTAACTATCTGAGAAATAACTAACAAAGTAACTACGAAAAATTCGGGGCAAAGTACAAACCTTAAAATGCGCGCAACGAAACGAAGCTTAAATGCCTTTGCAAAGCTGCTAATGGGATGGCGACCGCTTCAAGAATGTACAAATAACAACTTCCGAAAAGCATGGCAGCAAATTAAAGCAAATTAAATCAACACGCGCGCCCACATAGCTTCACACACCTCAGTGCAGTTGATCCTGCGCCATGTCCCCGTTTTAGTCCCACTGCTCCTGACCCCATTTTCATATTCATGCTGCTAGGACGCGACCTTAGAGTGAAAACAAAAAAACCAATAATAGAGGCAAAAACAAGAAAAGATTACAATAACTACGCGTAAGCGTCTCAAACCCGTAATAGAAAGAACTGCTGCTTTCAAAACGGAAGCGTTTAAGGAAGGGCGCTTGAATCGTTTTACGGGTGTTTGCTCATGAATTTTTATTTTCTAATTTTACTTTGGGATATTCTTTTTAATTTTCTTTGTGCCACCCAGCGCTAAGGTGCCAAATATATATATTTATATACCGTTATCTATGCACCACCTAACAACATTTTACTTACTGTTTAAGCATATTACTTATTTCCTCTTCCCTCTCATCATTTACCGTTATCTAACATTTATTGCTTAACTGCTTTCGCACTGGAATGCTCGCACCTCCTTGCTGCAGCAGGCGCCAGCGAAAAGAAATTGCCCGTAATTGTGTTCATACACGGCGAATCGTTCGAGTGGAGCAGCGGAAATCCCTACGACGGCAGCGTGCTGGCGAGCTACGGCGAAGTGGTCGTTGTAACGCTTAATTACCGCTTAGGAATTCTGGGTGAGTATGAAGGGAAACAGCAACAGCAACGGTTAAGTTTAACTAGCAACATAAAAGCGAACATGCACTGACACGCTGCTGGCCAGCTGGCTGACTGCCTGCGGAGCTTGAAACGAAAGCTGCAGTTGCGGCGTTAAAGAAAAATGTTAAAACTAAGGGAAATAAAAGTAACCCACAATAGCCGACATAAAATATATAGCGCTAATAAAGTGCCAGCGCCTTAAGTTAAACTGCCACAAATGCAGGCGAGCGAACGATCGCCCGCGCGCGCCCATTTTGCAACCAAACAGCAATAGCTATAATTTATGCTGATTTTCCGCGCTTATCTCACTAAATTCATTTCGCAACTTTTTATTGTTCCTTCGCTCTCTTTGAATTTCCGTTTGTTCTCTCCACTGCAGGCTTCCTCAATGCCAACCCCAACCCGCAGGCACATGCGCGCGTGGCCAATTACGGTCTCATGGACCAAATGGCCGCTCTGCATTGGATTCAGCAGAATATACAGAAATTCGGCGGCGACCCGAATGCAGTTACGCTGGCGGGGCATGGCACTGGCGCCGCTTGCATCAATTTTCTCATGACATCGCCGACAATGGTGCGCGGCCTCTTCCATCGCGCCATACTCATGTCCGGCTCGGCGTACTCATCCTGGGCACTGGTCGAGGATCCAGTCTTGTTCGCCGTCAAATTGGCGAAGGAGTTGAATTGTTCGATACCGGAGGATTTGAATAAGCATCACGAGCAGATAGTCGATTGTCTGCGCGAAGTGCCGCTGGAGGATTTGTATGCAGCTGATATACAGGCGCCGAACTTTTTAACATCCTTCGGACCATCGGTGAGTGTAAAAGTGGAGAATTAATAACTATGCCAATAAGAATGCTTGTTTGGGTTTCGCAAAAAAAAAAAACACGATTACTTCAAAAGTTTAGAAATTAAGAATTTCGGAAATTAACTAAATTTTACTGCTGAAAATAGTTTCTTTATTTGTGTTCTTAAAGTAAACCCAAAACAGTATTGCGCTTTAGAGAAAAAAAAACATCCAAGCATTTCTTTGAAGACACTTTGTAACTACATTTGAAGGCATTATGTCATAAAGAAACGCTTTACACATTGACATACATAATTTAGCCAACTTCAAGTTAGAACCCAACAAAATACACACTTTCTTTTTTATCATACAATAAATTAATAGCCCGCTGCTTTCAACTAGAAAAATAAATTGAAAAGAAAATGTCGAAAACTTTCGCATAAAACTTACAGCGGGACAACTGAATAAAAAAAGCGTTGTAAAAAGAAGTCTACTATTTGCTTGAAATCTTAAATGGAGAGGACAACTATCTAATCAAGACATCTTTGGCGAAGGTCAAAGGCAAGAGCGCCCACCTCCTTTTCGTTTGCAGGCAATTCCTTAAACATACATACATAGTACACACATACATATGTACATATATATATGTATATATGCACTTCCAGCTGAGTTCTGTGTACTAAGTGAATGTGTGTGTAAATGACAGCATTTAAAATTGACGACCTTTTAGTTAAGACGTTAAATGATAAGAGTAGACAAAAAAAACGTAGTAAAAACACTTCTGCAACAAAAGAATGCTGAAGGCAATTGGAAACTTGGAAATTGGAGGATAGCAAGAAATAAAAACGTTTCGAACAAAAAAAGAAGTTATGCGCCGGGAATACATACATACATACGTATGTGTAGTAGGGCGATTCAGAAAACAAAAACATATTTTTTCCTCGGAACCATGCTCAAAAGTTTCGGTTAGACGCTAAAATAAGTCTCAGAAAATAGGAGCCCTTAATATGAATATTAAAAATGTCCGCATCGCACGTTTCGATTTCCCACACAGGAAAATTGTTTTTTACTTCTGATTTTTATATTTAAGGATACGTTGTACCGTAAAAGTGTTGAAGACAATTTTCGATAAGTCGACTCGGCCAAAAGTTATTCGGGTCAAAATTGAAAGAGTGGTGAATTCAACTTTGACCTCGAATAACTTTCGACCGAGTTGACTTAGGTGAAAAATGACTTCAGACCTTTTTTGTAGGAGGTGCAATTCTCTAAAAAAAATACTGCAAGACCTTTACAGTTGAACGTATCGTTCATTAAACAAAAAATTTGGATTAAAAAAAACAATTTTTCCTGTGGTATTCTTATGGGAAATCGAAATGTGCGATGCTGACATTCTTAATAATAATATCAAGGGCTGTTATTTTCTGAGACTTATTTTGGCGTCTAAACGAAACTTTTGAGCATGACTCCGAGGAGAAAAAGATACAAAATAAATTTCTGTACCACCCTAATGTCTAGTTAGTTATATACAGTCAAATGGTTGGTAACAGAAGTCACAGACGTAAGACAACATCCAGGTGCAAGGTCTTCTCGAAACCTTTTTTGTTAAGATATCTGTTCTCTAAGGAATATGATTGAAATTGGAGTATATTTTATTTTAAAATTCATAGAATTATAGATAGGGGGGGCTGCTGAAAAATAAAATAAAATAAAATAAAATAAAATAAAATAAAATAAAATAAAATAAAATAAAATAAAATAAAATAAAATAAAATAAAATAAAATAAAATAAAATAAAATATGTAAAATAAAATAACATAAAATATTATAAAACCTTCTTCTTCTTCTTCTTCTTCTTCTTCTTTTTTGGCGCTGCAAACGCCTAGCGATTTTGGTGAAGCCAAGTCCTTCTCCACCTGGTCTTTCCAATGCAGAGGCGATGATTGCCACACCAGTGTGTCACCACATGTTAACTTGCACTTCTAACGTCAGAGTCAGAGGGTTTCACCGTAACAATAATTGGCACGTTTTCTAAGTAGGCAACGGGACCACACTTTCGTAGTTGAATATATCTTATTAGGAATAACATACATGGCGCTATAATTTTCCTGAAGGTATTTTTCAAGGACGCTTAAAAATATTGGTATCGATCCGTGCAAAAAAACTGGTATCTATGCCTCTCTATAGCGGCTCTCTTGAGTTAGATCCAATGGTACCATTATCAAAATAACTAGTTGTCCGTTGATCTTTCTAATCAGATGCTGTAGGGCAGAGTCGGACAATATTTCATTGACAAATGCAAATTGAGTAGGGGTTTAGCGAACTGAAAGCCTCAATTTGTAAGATATAGTAGCCTTTCCACGGTCCTAACAATAACGAAGTTAAAGCTAATCAGTCTGTGTAATATAGGTGACTCCAAGGGATTGATTGCCTGATGCCATGGGGCATAATCTAGCAGAAAAAATTATCGTTATCTGTATTACAATTGATGTGCAAAATTTTAGAAAACCTATTACATCGCTAAACGTCACCTTACCTCTTGCTCTATCAAGCGGAAAGTTTCACTAAATTCAACAATTTTTTTTAGAGGGGTCTTCATTGCTCAAAAAATTTTAACGAATTTTTAACAAGATTGCTGCTGAATTTGTCATTACTTATCATT